ATTCCCATTTCTGATTAAGTCGAGTAAGTTTACGGAGTGGTTCTATAACATTAGCAAAATTTCTTATGAAGTGTGAATAGTGGTTGAAAAAACCTAATAAACTTTGAACTTCTTTCTACGTTGAAGGAGCAACAAGATTATTGACTGCATCAATATTTTCTGGGAGCATATGAACACCAGAAGATGATACGGAGAATCCGAGCCAATTTACGTGAGAAACTTTGAAGTAGCACTTTGAAGAACTTAGCGTTAGACCATGTTTCTCAAGACGTTTCAATACATCAACAAGACGTTTATCATGTTGGTCTTCAGTCTCTCCAACAATCAGGATATCATCAAGAAGATTGAATGTTCCTTTGCAACCGGTTAGAATGATGTCCATCATCTTTTGAAAAGATCCAGGAATATCGGCTAAACCAAATGGAGAAGTCTTGTATCTGTACAAACCAAATGGAGTTGCAAATGTCGTAAGTTCTTGAGTTTCAGGTTTCAGTGGAAGTTGGTGGTAAGCTTCATTCATATCCAACTTTGTAATGAAATCAGCTTTCTTAATTGAACCTATAAGCGTCTCGATATTCGGTAGAGGATACTTCACAGGAATAATGTTTTTATTGACACTGCGTAGGTCAACACACAACCGAAGTTTATTGTTCTTTCTACGACTAAGTACGACAGGACTAACCCATTCGGAATGATCCATTTCCATAATAATGTCTTTTCGAAGCAGCTGATCAATTTCCTCTTTAAATTCTTTTTCTAATGCAAAGGGGATTGGTCTGGGTTTGTGAGCAACTGGAATAAAATCTTCTTTAAGTATGGACTGGTGCTGAAACTTTTGAGCTTTGCCAAGACCATTGAACACTTTCGGGAATTCTTGTTTTAAGTCATCAAAACATGAAATTCTATTGACTATAACACTTTGGTCTTCTATAGCTATTTGGGAAGTAGCAGGCTGGACACAAATATTCATACGTAAGGATGCTATCAAATCTAAACCAAGCAATGGATCTCCTGATGAAACAACATAAAATTTACAAAGGCAATGTCGATCTTTAAAGCTGACAGGTAAGGTAACAACACCAACAACATCTATGAATGACTGGTTATAACTTCTAAGGTAAGTATCTGGACGGGTAAGTATAACATCACTGAAATATCTATCATATATAAACTTATTTATAATTGAGATTGGAGAACCTGTATCTACTTGCATTGTAACTGGAATAGAATTCAGAATAACTTCGCAATCTAATTTCCGCTTGGCACCATTAGTCACTGTCAACACTGTAAATTCATCAGTCATCAGATCAACTGGTGGATGGCTGTCATGTTGAACTGGTTCATAATAATCTGATGAAGCCATAAAATTAACTTGTCGGCTTGATGCGCTACAAACTCGAGCAAAATGACCATATTTTGAACAATTACGATACTGGGCTTTGTGTTGAAAACTACCACAACGGAAACAATAGCTTTGTGAATAAGATTGAGCAGGTTGTGACTGATTGCGTTGTTGTGGTTTGATTGGTAATCGATACTGAAATCTATTTGGTTGAATTGACGGATATCTCGGTCTAGTCTGGCTAAAAGAGAAATTATTACGACACTTACGAGCTTCAGTCTAATATTCTATTCTATTTGTGGGTTTATATTTGCAAGGACAACATCAGTAAAGGCTTTAACAATATTTATTCATCGGCATGGCGGAACTGTACATCTCAATATCAACTGCGCATGTCTATACAACTTTTACCTATAGCTATCACAAAGTATGGAAACACATTAATGACATAATGAATTGACAAACACCACAGAGTGATCAGACCTTGGATGTGACAGAGTCCACTGTAGTGAGTAACATTGCACCTGGGCAAAAAAAAATTGGGAAATAACTGAGACTTGTATTGTTGTAATCGAATTGACTACCCGTTCCAGAAGTTTAAAATACGGATCATTTCATTTTCTTATTTTAAAACTTGAAAGATATTTCTATAGTTCAAAGGGCTAGAATAAAGTCACCTGGCTGGGACAGCGGGTGTTTCCATATATCAGACAAAATCAAAACCATGCTATGGACAATATTGCGCAAACATGAAACCCCCCAAAATGTCAGAAACTATTTGAATATAACATATTGAATAGGTTTTATATCGGAGAATTTACTTCCCCCCCCCCCCCCATTACTACGACACTTACGAGCTTCAGTCTAATTACCCCAGACCACTTGAATTAGGTTAAAAGGTGAATTATCGATATAATTAACGGCGATGGCTATATGATCTGGATATCTGCCTACGTTTTAAATATTAGGTTGCTAAGCTTTAACGTAGCAAGTATTAAAACGGGCTGAAGTGTGAAGTCGAGTCAACTAATAGACTGCTAAAATATAACGAGAACCATTCCTCCTGGCCAAAAGGTAATCTAAATATAGAAAGATATTGCTGAGACCGTATTGCTGAAACCAGATTTTACTTTCCGTTGCAGAAGTTTCTGAAAAATCATTCAAGTGGTTTAAAACCCAGAAGAATCAGAAAATGGCTGGAAAAATGCCGAGAAAATACCGAACAATAAACTGAGATAACTTATAATGAATCTTATATTTTTGGAATCGGATTGACCTCAGCTATTCGAATATTTAGATCAAGTTTGTAAGTTTTAAAAATTAAGATAAACATAAATGTCGTGCAATTAACCTTCAGAATAGGAAACCAATTCACGAAACGGCGGCTTATTCCGAGTATTTCCAAGCCGTTAATGCAGATTTTTCACTCGTAGATAACTTTGTCGAGTTAAATGAATCAATCTACTTTCATTCCAAATATCATGAAAATCGTGCTTTGTTCCATCATTTCTCCAAGGGGAGACATGCTTTAAGTTAAATGGATCAGGTCTACTTTTATTCTCTAGCCTGGAGCTCAGGTGTTTGATCCCTGCATTGGCCGAGAAAGTTCATCAGGATCTTCCGACGTGGTTTCCCCTTGTCGGTGGTGCAGAACGGAGGGCCTGACAAGGACAGCTGTCTAGTCCTTCGGATGAAACGGAAAACCAAGGTCCCGTGTATATATTGGAATGCATGTAAAAGATCCCCTTGCAGTTGGAATTCGATATAAGAGTAAGCGATAGTGCCGCTGCCCGGGCAAAATTTCCCTCATAGCACACTGTATTCCGTATGCCCGTCTTCGTTAGCCCAGTATAGGAGTAGGACGTTAAACCCCATTTCATTTATTCCAAATTTCATGAAAATCGTGCTAATATTAAAGAAGTTGTCAAATTCGTTTTTACTTCCGAAATGAATGTCAATGACGTTCGAAAATAGCAGATTGTAAATAAATGTTTCAAAGTACCCAAAGAAATATGAATATGTAAAATAGGTCAAATATTCACAAAGTTACAGCTATATAGGTTAATTCTTTCGTCATTAACATTTGGTGATTTCGGATTTGTGAAGCGTTTCGAAAATATGTATATCAAAGTCAACATCCCTTCTGGGAGACAGGTTAAATATTTAGAAAGATCCAAAGATTAGATTCATGGATATAAGCTTGACAGAATCTTAAGAAAGAAATTGTCGTGTAAACAACTTTGTCGGCTCGAAAAATGTCAAAGTGGAAATTCGAAATTTTAAAATTTTGAAATACCAAAAATTTGTCCCAGATCCGGGCTATTCAGAAATGTAATAATTTCTGTAATAGGAGACAGATTCTCTAAACCACAACCTATTGTGTATATTTTCAAGCCCATTAATGTGTATTTTTCACTATTTTTCATTTTCAATTCAAAATGGCATCCATCATTTGCGAGAAATCAAAATTCTAAGCTCTACATGTTTATGGGCATTCCTTCAAGGATTCGGAAAATATAATTCAATTGTCTGTAACTGTAAGTAAAATATCAAAAAGCCTTAAGGATATTTCACATTTCAAGATGGTGGCACTTCCGGATTGAGGTACAAACAGCATTTTTTGTGTACGAATCAGTAGTGTCGTAGCTAGTACAGAAAAAAAATTTCAAGACAATTTGACCTATATTTAGTCGATTTTTTTGAAAACTTTAATCTTTAATTTCTCCAAGGGGAGATAAGTTAGGGCATTTCTAATGGTATCATTGAAGTTGGGTCAGTGAGATCTACATACATTCCAAATTTCATGAAAATCGCACCAATATTAAAGAAATTGTCAAATCTGTTTTACTTCCGGGACGAAATGTCAATGAAATTCGAAAATCGGAAATAGCAGATTTGAAGTAGATATTTCAAGGTACTCAAAGAAAAAAAAATTAGTAACATAGGTCACATAGTCACAGAGTTATGGTTATGTAGGTCAATTTCTTCGTTCGTAAAATTTGGTGATTTCGGATTCGTAAAACGTTTTGAAAATATATTTAATCAACGTTCGCACACCATTTTTGGGGGGGTAGGTCAAAGTTTCAGAAAGATCCTATGGTTAGCTTTTGAGAAATCTGATTTGCAGAAAATACACACAAAAAATAATAATAATAATCTTAACAAAAACAATAAGCTTTCATATGAAATATGAAAGCTTAATAAGAATAATAATCCGAACAAAACAATAGTGTTTCACACAAGCTACGCAGTGTGAAACCCTAATAATAAGAATTATCTTAACGAAATCAATAGTGTTTCACACTGATATATGTTCTTTGAAGCCTGTGTTCAGGTCACATGAATGTTTCTTTTGGTATACAGGGCTGTATATAAATATTACACAGTCACATAGCATTAATTTTCAAAATTGTGTATAAATGAAAAGAAGTTGACATTTATCTTAAAACAAACAAAAAAACAACCACCAAAACCAATCACAAGTTGTGGTTTTGTTGTGTAGAATATATGGTTTGGTTGGTGTAAAGCTGAAGTAGGTTGATATACATGTACATGAACATATGAAGTCATTTATTGATATCATTAAATACATTAGACACAAATACAAAAACTATTGATCCATCTGTTTGTACTATAAATAGTCTACTTTATTTTTCAGAGAGGAGCATTATCATTTGTCCCTTCGTCAACAGTAGGACAAGTAATATTTGTAGGTGGTTTGGCATGTGTATCAGTTTTAGCTGTTTTTTATTTTAATAGTAACTGATTTTTTATGGTATTTAGAAGAAACAGAATAGTAATAGAGATTAAAAAATATTTTTAAAACTATAATCATAGCCACTGATTCCATCATTGCCAATGAGATCATTCCTCTTACACTGGTGGATGAATGAAATGATAAGATAGAATGAAATTAGAAGAATGATTGAATAGAAACAAAAGTGTATTTTTTAAAAAACAGAATTTATGTTCACCTTGGGGTCAGGCAATTGAAGTGTTGAGTACATGCTTGGTTGATATTTTCTGTTACTAACAAAGTAAACTTTTTTGTCCCCCGCCTTTCGAAGAAAGCAGGAGACTATTAAAATGGGTTCGTCCGTCTGTCTGTCTGTCTTTCTGTCCGTCCGTCTGTCTGTCTGTCCATCCATCACACTTTTGGGACACAATAACTCTCCTTCTAATTGACCTAGAATGTTCAAACTTGGTGTAGGTGTTTATTAGGTCAATGCCTTGATGGAGTTCGAAGATGAGCATTTTCTGCTTAGGGTAAGCAGAGATAAGCAATTTGATTGATTGATGCTTTGGGACACGATAATTTTAGTTCTAATTAAGTGAGAGTGATGAAACTTGGTGTATAGTTTCATTACATCAATACCTTGACTAAGTTCGATAATGAGCATTTTCTGCTCAGGGTAAGCAGAGTGGTAAGCAATTTGATTGGCCGAGACTTTGGAACACAATAACTCTCCTTCTAATTGAGCTAAAATTTTCAAACTTGGTGTAGGTGTTTATTAGGTCAATGCCTTGATGAAGTGTGAAGATGAGCATTTTCTGCTTAGGGTAAGTAGAGATAAGCAATTTGATTGGTTGATGCTTGGGACACGATAACTTTAGTTCCAATTAAGTGAGAGTGATGAAACTTGGTGTATAGTTTTATTACATCAATACCTTGACTAAGTTCGATATTGAGCATTTTCTGCTCAGGGAAAGGCAGATTGATAAGCAATTTGATTGGCTGAGACTTTCGAACACAATAACTCTCCTTCTAATTGAGCTAGAATGTTCAAACTTGGTGTAGGTGTTTATGAGGTCAATGCCTTGATAGAGTGCTAAGATGAGCATTTTCTGCTTATGGTAAGTAGAGATAAGCAATTTGATTGGTTGATGCTTTGGGACACGATAACTTTAGTTCTAATTAAGTGAGAGTGATGAAACTTAGTGTATAGTTTCATTACATCAATACCTTGACTAAGTTTGATGATGAGAATTGTCTGCTTAGGCTAAGGAGCAATAAGCATTTTGATTGGTCAAGACTTTGGAACATAACAACTCTGCTTATAATTGAGGTAGAATGTTTAAACTTGATGTAGATATTCAATGATTAACATATCAAGCTAAAGCTAAGCAGAGATAAGCAATTTCCTTGGTCGATGCTTTGGGACAAGATAACTTTGATTCTATCTGATAGAGAGTGATGAAACTTGGTGTATAGTTAATAATCAGTTTGATTGCCCGAAACTTGAAAAAAATAGATGTGCGATTAATTAATATGTGTCATCTATTTATTTGGGGATTTCAGTGGGGGACATCAGCCTCACTGTTGGCTTGTTGTATTGGAAAAGTAAACCACTTAGACATAAAAAAGCTTTACAAAAGGACTTGATGATACAGGTTCATGCGCTTCAACTTATAATAAGCTGCAAGACATGATCTATCCACCTTGTATGATTTTTTTCTACTTAACAATTCTTGTGATATATTATTGCTCAAATACAAATGATACAAAGATGAATTAAAATTATTTAAATTAATTTGTACGGAATTATTGACATTTGAGTGTTTGTAATGTGAATTATTTTAGATACCAGTAGATGATATTTTAATATGATTATATGTTAATTGCTCTCTACAATTCTAAGAGTAACTTGTTTTCATTTCATTTCAATGCTTAATTTTATTTAGTATCTTATTACTAAATATTAATGAATGTTAATCTGGGTCTCATATTAAATGTTATAAGATTGATCTCAAATCAAAATGTGTATACCAGTAGTATTGTAATACTGTTAGCTCAGTGACAATATACGTCTAGATATATATATATATATACTCATCAAAAGACTGCTGAAGTGGTCACAATAAGATATTATAGCCTACATATCAAACCATGCCACTAACTAAGAAAAATAATTCTGTTGCTTCCATTCCAGAAACATTTTTATAAGCCCACATTTTCATGTGGACGTATATTGTCATCGCCCCTGTTCGTCCGTCCATCGGTCCGTCCACAATTGTTTGTGGACACTCTGCAGGTCACAATTCTTATCCGATTTTGACGAAACTTGAAATATAGGTTTATCTCCAAAAGATCTCGGCTGCTTTCGATATTGGCATGTATCGGATCGAAACTTCATGGATTATGGCCCCTGTTTGTACGAAAAATCACATTTTTAGCTTGTGGACCCTATAGAGATCACAATTTTTATACGCCCACATTTTCATGTGGACGTATTATGCCGTCGCACATTGTCCGTCCATCCACGGTTTGTTTGTGGACACTCTACAGGTCACAATTCTTATCCGATTTTGACGAAACTTGAAATATAGGTTTATCTCCAAAAGATCTCGGCTGCTTTTGATATTGGCATGTATCGGATCGAAACTTCATGGATTATGGCCCCTGTTTGTACGAAAAGTCACGTTTTTAGCTTGTGGACCGACCCTATAGAGGTCACAATTTTTATCCGATTTTGTTGAAACTTGAAATGTAGGTTTATAACCTAAAAATCACGTTTTTAGCTTGTGAACCCTATAGAGGTCATAATTTTTATCCGATTTAAAAAAACGTATTATTATATCACCGTTACACCCTAAGGATGGCTGAGTTCGAATTTTGTGAAAATTGGCCGAAAATTGACAGATAAAATGGCCGCCGTTTGTTCTCAAATAGCGTAAAAATATGGTATATCAAGGTCGTGGACCCTATAGAGGTCACAATTTTTGTTCGATTTTGTTAAAATTTGACATGTAAGTTTATATCCCAAAGATTGTACGAAAAATCACGTTTTTAGCTTGTGGACCCTATAGAGGTCATAATTTTTACCCGATTTAAAAAAAAAAACGTTTTAGTATATCACCATTACACCCTAAGGATGGTTGAGTTCGAATTTCGTGAAAATCGGCCCAAAAGTAACAGACAAAATGGCCGCCCCACGTACTCAAATAGCGTAAAAATATGGTATATCAAGGTTGTGGACCCTATAGAGGTCACAATTTTTATCCGATTTTGTTGAAACTTGAAATGTAAGTTTATAACACAAAGATCTCAGTTCCTTTCGATATTCGCGCATATTGAATTGTAATTTCCTGAATTATGGCCCTTGATAGTAGGAAAAATCACTTTCTTGTTAGCTTGTTCTCTATCCATCTCTTGCAAAATGTGGGCGTATCCTGCCTGGCAGCCGCTGGTTATCCGATTTTGTTGAAACTTGACATGTAAGTTTATAACCCAAAGATCTTGATTCCTTTCGATATTCGCGCATATCAGATTGTAACTTCCTGAATTATGGCCCCTGATTGTACGAAAAATTGCGTTTTTAGCTTGTGGACCCTATAGAGGTCATAATTTTTATCCGATTTAAAAAATGTTTGAATATATCACCGTTACACCCTAAGGATGGTTGTGTTCGAATTTCGTAAAAATCGGACTAAAACTGACCGACAAAATGGCTGCCCCTCGTACTCAAATAGCGTAAAAATAAGATATATCAAGGTTGAGGACTCTCTAGAGGTCACAATTTTATTCTGATTTTGATGAAACTTAAAATGTAAGTTTATATTCCAAAGATCTTGGTTCCTTTTGATATTTGCACATATCGGATCGTAACTTCCTGAATTATGGCCCCTGATTGTACGAAAAATTGCTTTTTGTTAGCTTGCTCTTTATCCATCTCTTGCAAAATGTGGGCGTATCCTGCCTGGCAGCCGCTGGTTATCCGATTTTGTTGAAACTTGACATGTAAGTTTCATGAAACTTGACATGTAAGTTATAACCCAAAGATCTTGGTTCCTTTCGATATTTGCGCATATCGGACCGTAACTTCCTGAATTATGGCCCCTGATTGTACGAAAAATTGCGTTTTTAGCTTGTGGACCCTATAGAGGTCATAATTTTTATCCGATTTAAGAAACGTTTGAATATATCACCGTTACACCCTAAGGATGGTTGAGTTCGAATTTTGTAAAAATCGGACTAAAACTGACCGACAAAATGGCTGCCCCTCGTACTCAAATAGCGTAAAAATAAGATATATCAAGGTTGAGGACTCTCTAGAGGTCACAATTTTATTCTGATTTTGATGAAACTTGAAATGTAAGTTTATAACCCAAAGATCTTGGTTCCTTTTAATATTTGCGCATATCGGATTGTAACTTCCTGAATTATGGCCCCTGATTGTACAAAAAATCGCTTTTTGTTTAGCTTGTTCTCTATCCATCTCTTGCAAAATGTGGGCGTATCCTGTCTGGCAGCCGCTGGTTTATGTATAACTATATATTCTATATTCACGTTCATTAAGTATGTGTGATTCAACTCTATAGACAGTGTGAAGCAACACTTTTTCAAAGAACCAAGATTGTCTTAATCACCAAAGTGTTACATTAGGGGGGGTTGGATGGCCAAATGGTTAGCAGGTGCGTGCTGTATCATAAGGTCTGTCATTGAGTCAACTGGCGGGCTTTCGATTCCCCGATTGTACATGACAAGGAGTAGGGTTGTCTGTCCAACCTTGTGGGTTTTCTCTGGGTCCTCTGGTTTCCTCCCACTGCTAAATATCCCTATGCACAAGCGAATTATTGAAATCAAATTTAACCATGTGTTAGTCCCAAAATGACCTAGTTTGTGTCGAGTGGACGTTAAACCCCATTTCTCTCCCACTTTCTGTCAGCTTATTGTGTGCTAGCTTGACTCGTGGAGCGGTTGTTATTGAAAGTATTTTTAACTGTCTTTATTTTGACTAATAAATAAATATATGAAAATATTATGGTTTACTGTCTAAGCATGTGCAGATTGAGAATAAAGTAAGTTTCCTTTGAGGTATCTCGAAAAGACAGATGTATAATGTTTTTGCAACAAATATTTTTTTTCTGGTAATCGCGACATGTTTTCAAATTGATGTAGGATCATTACTTGCACGGAATCTTTAATACCAATACCATCTTTGATTTTACAATTTTAATATCTAAAAATAGGAACACAGTATTGAATGATTGTGAATATGAGTACTGTTGCATGATAAAATGATTAATTATTAAATGTATATTAAGGTACTAATTACTGCTTATATTAATAAATGAATAATTTATAAGTTATAGTATATCCTAAAGATTATTACCTGTAAATGTATATAATGAATTTAACCTTTTTATAACAATGAACTTTATGGATTGTATCATATTTCAGTTAATATTTCTTTCATTCTACAACAAAATGAATTTTTATATTTTTCATATTTGTTATGTTGATTTTCTATGGAATAAAGATTTGATCTATATTGGTATAAACAAAGTTCATATCTTATTATTAACATAACTTTAATTCCTGATTAAATGATCCAAATAGTAGGGTGTCAAACAGCTGTACATTTTCTACTTTTTCATGCCAAGAACAAGCTTCCAGTCCTACTCATTCTTTCTTCTTGTGCTAAGAAGCTTATGTATCTCATGAAAAATGTCACGACCTTCCATCTTCAAAACTGTTCTGTCTCTTAGAGCTGCATCTCCCAGGTAACAAACTTATTGTATTGTCATTTTTTAAGCCAATTGCCAACTGCTCCAACTCTGCAGGTTTCAAAAGCTGGGGGTACAATTAACATTCCTGTGGATTTGTGAGCTTTATATCCAGGGATAATGTAAGCAAACAGAGTGCATGTAACAGATAACTTAGTACTCTCCAAATTTATCTGAGTTAACCAGTTGAATGCGCTTCTTTGAGGAATATTATTCCCTATTTTATGGCTTGTGCCACTTGACACCCTGCAATCATTTATTTCATTGTTAATCTTTGATTATGTTCTTCTGTATTATTTAATGTGTAAACCTTTACTAGTATTTTATTTTTACTAAACCCCCCAAAATAGTGCTAAATATTTGTTTTAATTTGACTAAAATTTGTAAAATAGATGAACAGTAACATAGTTATAAATATATTTTTTTATGTATGAATCGATTATTTCTAATGTATTCTAGCATATTATTTCTAATGTATTCTAGCATGTTGCTGAGAAAAATAATTATTTTTTTAATGACAGGCAAAAAAATCTTCCTTTTGTTCTGAAAAATGGTAGATACAACCACAAGACTACATTTTTATACGCCAACATTGAAATGTGGTCGTATAGTTTGTTCTACCGGCCGGTTAAAGTTAATATCCGATTGACTTTATACACGGTGTTTAATGTCATGAGATGAAGAACCTACTGATTTTCAGCGGTTTCCGATAATTATGGCCCTTGATCACTTCAAAATATCTTCTGGATGCTCTAGAGGCTAAAGATAATATCTGATTGACTTTAAAAATTTATACACAGTGTTTAAGGTCATGAGATTGAGAAGCAATTTTGGATAATTACAGCGATTTTGGATAATTACTGCCAGAGTTATGGCCCTTGGTCACTATGAAAAATCTTATGGACACTCTAGAGGCTAAAGTTAATATCCGATTGACTTTAAATTTATACGCAGTGTTTGAGGTCATGAGACGAAGAATCCTATTAATTTTCAACGATTCCCGATAATTACTGCCAAAGCTATGGCCCTTGATTAGTTTGAAAAATCTTGTGATGCTCTAGAGGCTAAAGTTATCATCCGATTGACTTTAGATTGATACACAGAGTTTAAGGTCTTGAGACGAACAAGTATATTGATTTTCAATGAATTTTGATAACTTGAACAGCTAAATCCATGATATTAAATGTTTCGTATACTGAACGCTAGCATGGGGCAGAACTTTATAAAAGCCAAACAAATTCTAATGATTTTCTGATAATTACTTAATGAGTTGTTACTCTTAATCAGATTTTAGTGTATTATTATTATAAATGTTTCATTACAGAAAAAAGTAAAAATATGCGACAACGTTTGTTGTCTGCCTGGATGATTTAGCTGCGGTGAGTGTATGTTTCGTTGCCTGGCAACCTATCTTTTTAATTATTTGCTGCAAGACCGGGTAATTTATTTGTTAAATAGTAGTTTCAAAATAAAAAGATTATGTCTAGTAGACCTGTACATTTGAGGGAGCAGGTTCTCTTAATTATACTGAACAATGTCAATCTGATAAGATCTGGGATTAATTAGATAAATTGTAGAGTATCAATTGGAAAATAACAAGCTGAAAGTTCCATGAAGATAACTCTTTGTTTTTCCCGGAGTAATTAAATTAAGGTAAAGCATTGATGGTAATTTCTATACCCTGAAACTAAGCTTTAGAAGATATTGTATATATACTCTTCAAAAAAAAGTAGGGGATATTCAGAAACAATACAAAACTGCGGAAATGCACTGCTGTTTTTATTAGAGGTAACCAGTGTATGTTAATAACAGGCCAGTTGCCTACACATGAACATAGAGAGTTCATATGGGCGGCTTATCTGACAACCCCATTTCACTAGCAAAGAGATACTGTCAAAAGTGAAAATGGACGTTTTTGAATTTTGTCTTCCTCAGACATTCAGCAATTCGTCGTGGCATGCTCCTAATCAACCGTCCAATCACGATTTGGGTCAATCTGACCCACTCCTCTTGCAGTGCCACGGCCAGTTCTTGCAGTGTTGTCGGTTGACATTGACGTCGACGAACACGTCTCCCGATTATGTCCCAGACATGCTCTATAGGGGAAAGTTCAGGGCTCATGGGTGACCAAAACATATGGACAATATGGTGACGCTGGAGGTAGTCATTCACGACACGAGCGTGGTGGGCACAGGCATTATCATCTTGAAAGATGAAACGTCGACCTGCACATTGAGCAAAGGGCAGAACTATCGGTACCAGGATGTGGTCATGGTAGTACACACCAGTGACCCTTCCTTGAACGATATGCAAGTCCGTTCTGCCAGTCATGGTGATTCCTCCCCACACCATAACAGACCCACACCCGAATATGTCATGCTGTCTGACGTTAACATGACACTCATTTACACGCCTCCAAACGCGAGCACTTATATCGGTGAAATCCAGAGTAAATCTGAACTCATCTGAGAACATTACACGTGCCCATCAACGATTACTCCAATTTCTATGCTGCCTACACCATTCATGCCTGTTTGCCATGTGCTGGCGAGTTAATGGAGGCACAACACGCGGATGTCGAGCATGTAAATGGGCTGCATGTAGCCGATTTCTAATCTTTTGGGGTGTAACTCGAATTCCTGATTGGTCGTTTGTCCTCGATTTCACAGGACCTGTGTACGAATGTATCGATCCTGGGCTTGTGTAGTGGCTATAGGACAACCTGAATGAGGTCTATCATTAGCATTGTGTGTTTGTTGGTACCAGTTCCACAGTCTGCTGATCATAAACTGTGACACATTAAGCATGTTGGCTACTGCTCGCTGTGTAGAACCCATTTGAAGCATGCCAATAGCAGGTAGACTTTCATGTTGAAGACGTCTCATTGCAAATAAAACGCAACACACTGAAGCAAAGATACTCTAAACAGTAAATCTTATGCAAGAACCAATAGGAAAGCAAACATGGGTAGGATAAACCAACACACGGTAGTTTTCATCAACCCTTCCTTGAAGTGTCAAATTTGTCAATGAACCCCTCCCACTTGTATGGCGCTATTGCGTGTCGCAAGTGCAGCTCAGTGGTTCTGTTGGGGGCGATAAGTTCTTCATCTGTGAACATACTCTCAAAGCATGTCAATGACTATTTATCATATCACAACCTGCATAGGTATTTGCATTTCAATATCCCCTACTTTTTTTGAAGAGTATATTAGTGGGATAACTTTCTGTAAACTACACCTTGATGTGGATTAGGAGAATGAATAGCTATAGGTCATTTGTTAAATACATGTACATATAGTCCTGGAAATCAAAAAGCACCATGATGACAAATTTATCAAATCTTTACAATTTGAAGATTACCACCAGTATAATATTATGAAGAAATTGGTTGTAAAATAGTATGATTTAGGAATAATATGACATCTTTCCCACCCATTTCATCGGAAATACGAATGAGCAAAATTTTGGAAGGTGATCAAATGAATGATTTATTATGCATTTATCTTTGCAACAACTACTAACAATTGCCTTATTTTTACTTCTACAGATTGGAAATGGGCAGCTCATATTTAGTCCTCCAATTATATTACAGACAGATGACTATTTTTTATATAACATCATAATTGGTGATGTTTATTGACATTTGATTGTTTAGTATGTAACTTTTAATATTGTATTATAGTCCTTTTCATATGACAGTGCGATTATGACATTACATGCTGCATGATTTCAGTATAATAACTGAAACAGAATACTGTATTGTAAAATAAATTAATTCAAGCAAGAAATTAATACATGTACATGATTGTAACCCATTGTTAATTGCATTTAATTCAAGTCCTGTCTATCAGCAGTATATTCAAAATTAACATAACAATGATGTATTTCACTGATTGATAGAGCTATCTCAACTGATAATGTATTCTTTTCTGACAGGTTACTATTAATAGTATGCTACGGAACTGTATTACATTGACTCTGGAAGCATGTTGATATAGTAATTTTAAAATAGAGACATTAATTTCATGATGCATTAGTTTGTTGTTTTACAGTTGATCTACATGTATGTAGTGATTGGAGTATAATAATATTAAATGATGAATAAAGTGTTGATAAATTGTATAAAATTGTGTTATTATACACCCACTTTAAAATGTGGTCGTATATTGTCGTCACATACGTACAGCGCCCACAAACTCTAGAGTCTAAAGTTAATACCTGAATGAATTTAAATTTATACATAGTGTTTAAGGCATGAGTCGAAGAATCCTGTTGATTTTCAGCAGTTTCTAATAATTACTGCCTGGGTTATGGCCCTTGATCACTTTGAAAAATCTTGTAGACACTCTAAGCTATGGTTATGAGACGAAGAATCCTATTGATAAGGTCTGTCATTGAGTCAACTGGCGTGGTTTCGATTGCCCGGTTGTACATGACAAGGCGTAGGGTTGCCTGTCCAACCTCGTGGGTTTTCTCTGGGTCCTCCGGTTTCCTCCCACTGCTAAAGACCCCTACACCCAAGCGAATTATTGAAATGAAATTGAACCGTATTACCTATTTTGAGTTGAGTGGACATCTCTCTCTCTCCTGCTCTCTCTCTCTCTCTCTCTCTCTCTCCTGATCTCTGATAATTACTTCCAGAGTTATGGCCCTTGATCACTTTGATAAATTGGGTGGACGCTTTAGGGGCTAAAGTTATCATTCGACTGACTTTAAATTTATATACAATGTGTATGGACATCAGCTTGAGAATCCTATTGATTTTCAGCGATATTTACTGCCAGAGTTTTGCTCCATGGTCACTTTGAAAAAGCTGGTGGTCATATTGGTTAAGTTCATGAGACCTGGAATCGTTGATTATCCATGATTTCGGATGATCACTGCCAACTTGATGGGTTGTTACTGGTACTCAGATTTTAGTGTGTTGTAAATGTTTTCATTACTGACAAAAGAAAAAAATATGGGACAACCCTTTTGACTGCCCAGACGACTTAGCTGCTGTGGGCATGTTTCTTTGCCTGGCAACCTATCTTTGTTTATTTAGGAACATTTTCAAGATATTGTATCATGTTCCCGTGGTTAATTTGTGTACTAATTAATTTAAGATTATTGAATGTAAGCCAGGCTATTTACTTCCTATTAGACGGTTGTGATTATCTTATAGCCCAGCCCCCTTTACTGAAAACCCTGTGAACACGATAGAGGTTATAGTTTTTAGCATATTTAAATTCATTCACTGTGTTAAGGTCATGGAACAACGAATCCTATTGATTTCCAATGGTTTCTAATATATACTCTTCAAAAAAAGTAGGGGATATTCAGAAACAATACAAAACCGTGGAAATGCACTGCTGTTTTTATTAGAGGTAACCAGTGTATGTTAATAACAGGCCAATTGCCTACGCATGAACATAAACAGTTCATATGGGCGGTTTATCTGACGGGCCCCATTTCACTCGCAAAGAGATACACCATCAAAAGTGAAAATGGACGTTTTTGATTTTTTGTCTTGATAATGAGTAATTGCTCCACCAATCCTCAGACATTCAGCAATTCGTCGCGGCATGCTCCTAATCAACCGTCCAATCATGATTTGGGGCAATCTGACCCACTCCCCTTGCAGTGCCACGGCCAATTCTTGCAGTGTTGTCGGTTGACGTCGACGAACACGTCACCCGATCAAATTAAACGTAACACACTAAAGCAAAGATACGCTAAACAGTAAATCTTATGCATGAACCGATAGGAAAGCAAACATGGATAGATAAACCAGCACGGAGCAGTTTTCATCAACCCCTCCTTGAAGTGTCAAATTTGACAATAAACCCCTCCCGCGTGTATGGCGCTATTGCATGTCGCATGTCCAGCTCAGTGGTTCTGTTGGGGCGATAAGTTCTTCATCTGTGAACACACTCTCAAAGCATGTCAAATGTTCATGACTATTTATCATATCGCAACCTGCATAGGTATTTGCATTTCAATATCCCCTACTTTTTTTGAAGAGTATATATTTCAGATACATGTATATGGCATTTCATTTTCAACAATTTCTGATAAACAGAACAGCTAAATGCATGATGTTACATGTTTTGTATACTAAAAGTGTACCAATTTTCTCCTATATGGTATCAATGAATGCATATCTGGTATCATTAGAATGTGGAAAAGATGAACAATACACTTTTATTTTCACAGCCTCTGGTAAAGTCACTATAGTATTACATGCACAACCTCCAAAACTGGCATTGTTAATGTCAGTTTATCTTGTATCAATTTACAAAAGATTCCGAGTCGATGGGATATATACTTTTCCAAATATCCAGTCTCGAAATTCAATGCATACGTACAAAATATACCCATTTTCGCCTTCAATTTTGGCCATGTAGGACAGAGGTTAAAATTCTAAAAAAGTTTGATAATAAAACTTAAATTACCCTACTATAACATACATTAAAGTCCATCTTGTGTATTTGATGGCTTATATTTTCAATTGGCACTTGAAATCTGTGCGGTGATGAAGTTTTAATGGCTGTTGACTTTTTATATTGATTTTAAAATAACTTCTAAATGATCTATAGGCCTACTTATCAAACATGTCTATTTAGAGTGACATTTTGCATAGATGACAAATATGTAATCATTTTGGATGTACATTGTATTGTTCTAATTTTATTTTGCCTCCAAAATGAGAACAAAATGGTTGATACGCTTCACGAATTGGAATAATGGGTTTTGACGATCAGATTAAAATTATTTCTGAAAGACTTAGATGCCTCATATTTGTCATTTTAGATCAAATCTTTACATAGAATAAGAATAAAGACTTATTTGGGATCCATGGGGTATCGTTTCGATTTAGTTTTGCTTTAAAAACAAGTGAAATCTAATTGTTTTGTCTGCAAAGTTTCACTATCACTAGACAGGCCGCAATTCTTAACGTATCGTCTTGAAACTATAAATACTAATTTTTCTTTATACCCTACTGATGTTCCCTATTGTTTCGTTTCGATTTAGTTTTGCTTTAAAAACAGGTGAAAACTTGTTTTGTCTACTAAGTTTCAATATCACTAGACGCCTCAAAACTACAGGCCGCTATTCTTAACGCATCGTCTTGAAACATAAATACTAATTTTTCTTTATACCCCTATACTGATGTTCCCTATTGTTTTTGGTGCCCGACCCCCAGGGGCAGAGAGTCAGGCTCAATTTTTGTATGTGTCAGTTTGTCGCCTACCAGCCACAATTCTTAATGGATTGTTTTGAAGTTGCGCATACTTATTCCTTATACCCTAAGAATGGTCGGTATTTTTTTATTGTGTGTCTGTGTATTTTGATCATCTTGAAAACTCTTCATACTTATTCCTTATACCTTCAGGATGACCGCTATTATTTTTGGTGCATGCCCGATCCTCAGGGGTACAGCAACGCCCATTTTTTTTTATGTTTATTGCCCATAGGGGCCGCAATTCTGAATGGATCATCCTGGAACGTGACAGGGGTTAGGCATACACCAAAAGTTCAGAATTGGTGTCTGTGGACGATAACACAAAAATCTGGTGTTGGCGTGCCCCTGGGGGTTGGGCATGCACCAAAAATACTAACAGTCATCCTTTAAGGGTATAAGGAATATATATGAATAGTTTTCAAGACAATCCAGTAAGAATTGCGGCCTGTTGGCAAAACACATGGGTGTGGCTCTGACCTGGGTTGGGCATGCACCAAAAACAATAGGAAACATCCTTACGGTATAAGGAATAAGTATGCAAAGTTTCATGTGTTAAGAATTGCGGCCTGTAGTTTTCAGGTGTTCAGTGGTAGTGTAACAACATTATTTGTACTTCAACGTTCTAAGCAGACAAAACAAGTTTTCTCCCGTTTTTGAAAGCAAAATTAAATTGAAATGATACCCCCTGTAGCCAAAATGAGTCTATATTCTTATTGTACATTATAAGTTGCGCTAAAATGACAAATATGAGGGGCCTATGTCTTTCAGAAGTAATTTTAATCTGATTGTCAAAGCCCAACAGTGGCGGCGCCAGCCGTCGGTGATTGGAGGGGCAAAGCTGGGGCAAAGTCCAAGGTTAAGGGGGCAAAGGCACGAGCATCAACTAGGGGTAGGGGGCCTCCCCCAGAAAATTTTGAAAAACAGGTTGCCGGAAATGCAGCTGGGGCAAAGTCCAAGGTTAAGGGGGCAAAGGCACGAGCTTCAACTAGGTGTAGGGGGCCTCCCCCAGAAAATTTTGAAAAATAAGTTGCCGGAAATGCAACCTGGCAGTATTTCAGGCACTGATCGATGAGGTAACGTTTCAAACGAACGGACTTGCGAATCTCGACGAAGCCCACTCAAAAGCCTCAAAGTAGGGAGTCCTCCCCCAGAATATTTTGAAAAATAGACTGCCGGAAATGCTGTCTTACAGTATTCTGTCCGGCACCGATCGTCGAGATAAATAGATCTGACCAGATACCGTCCGTCGCCTGATCACTAGTTTATCCGACTAGAGAACAGAATGTCAAACGAACGGACTTGCGAACCTCAACGAATTCCCCTTGTGAGCGCCAAAGTAGCGAGTCCATTGGGGACCTCGCCAAGAAAATTTTGAAAAATAGACTGTCGGAAATGCTCTACAACATGCAAGTTTATGACTGAGTGGGGATGTGGGATTTATTCACCGTATATAGAAGGTATTAATTACCGAAACGTATCCCAAATGGGGGGGGGGCAAACAGAGGGCAGACCAGATTAATGGGGGGGGGGGCAAAGGCCCCCCCCTGGCGCCGCCACTGAAGCCCAATATTTCAATTTGTAAAGTGGAATAATCATTTGTTTCTCATTTGGGAAGCCAGATAAAAATTAGAATAATACAATGTACATCCAAAATGATTGCATATTCGTAATCTACGCAAACATTTACTATAAATAGACATGTTTGAGGGGTATAGGTCATTTAGACTAATTTTAAAATCAACGTGAAAAGTCAACAATTTTGATAATAACCATTAAAACTTCATCACCGCACAGATTTCAAGTGCCAATTAAAAATATAAGCCATCAAATACACAAGATGGACTTCAATGTATGTAGTAGGGTAGTTGAAGTTTTATTATCAAACATTTTCAGAATTTTAACCTCTGTCCCACATGGTCAAAATTGAAGGTAAAAATGAGTATATTTTGTACGTTTTCAGTTTGTACTGAATTTCGAGACTGAATATTTGGAAAAGTATATATCCCATCGAAAACCTGAAAAAAATTACTGAATTTATGATCCGTTTCAGTTTTCTAATCTCAAATGGCCATATCTCAGCGAATTTTCGATTTGTTAGCTTAAGTCCATGTACTAAAACAAATATTTTTTATAATTTTTTGGGAGGGGGTGAAATGAATCAAAATATTACTATCAAAAGGACATTCTGATGAAAAATTGAAGATAATCGTGAATGGACCTGTATGTAGCTAACCTCAATGCGATATGGCTATTGGATTTACACAGTACCGGATTTTTTTTTGGGGGGGGGGGGCAAAGTGGGACAAATGTCCCGCCCCCCCCCCCACACAATTCTGGGTCATACTAATATTTTATCCCGGATGGAGCCAACCAGTACCTGAGCTGAGGGGGCGAGGATTGGGGCCTTGGGCAGTAAGGGATATTGGGGGCCCCGGGACTGGTAGGTAACAACAGATTTTCGGGGTCCCAGAGATCAGTTAGGCCCTAAAATTAACTAAATTACATAACTTAGAGGTTCTACCAATCAATTAGGTCCTAACCAGTTCCGGGGACCCCATCCCGCGATGTGATTGCTGGGGCCCAACCAGTCCAGGGAAATTAACGTAATCATAGTATAGTAGTTCAGACAAATGTATAATCTGAACATGTTTCCTGCCTAAATTTTACTTCTTTTTTTCTCCTTGTCTTTTGTTTGGGATTTTATGTCTTGATTTGAATTCTCTTAACTGTTGATAGTTTCGTGCGTATCGTCAAAAAAAACATGAGAAATGTCCAAAACATCCTTTACATCGCATTTTCAGCTCATTGTCTGTCACCCTAATAGGCCGAAAACGCCCCAGGCATTCAAGGGGGCGGAGTACATATTAGTACGATCCGCGGTCAGTACGAACAATTTGAACAGACAACAATAGGCCCCCCCACAAGGTTAATCCGGCTCTGGATTTACATGTAATTGGATCTTCTATCCAAATCTTATTTTTAGCAAATACTTAAAATTCTTTTCATGTCGTTTCGTTTTCAGCAAATACTTGAAATTCTATTCTTATTGTTTGATTTTCAGCAAATAGTTGTAATTCTCTTCATATCATTTGTTTTTCAGCAAATAGTTGGAGTTCTTCTCAAATCGTTTTGTGTTAAAGGGCAATATTTGTGTCAGCCATTATCACATATGTGATAGAACTGGTTAAACATGTTCCAAATATAATTTTAACAAAGAGATCATTGCGTAACAAAGATTTCAAGCAACGGAAGTGACGAAAGTAAAAGGAAAAACCCGAGTTATCCTTCTATATAACTGACTGAAGTAAACAAGTGATAACAGATTTTCGGGCGAATTTCTGCTCACTGACAATACCTTCGTAGACCAAAAGTTCTTATATGAGACTGTGAGATGATATCTGACAATTCAAAAAAATAATTGAATGTTACTACATAAGAGAAACGGAGGAAAAATAGAAATAGCCCATACATTCTATACTTAAGAGAAAATGAAAAGAAATAAACCTACCTACTCGGGTCACTATGGGGGCATTCATAAGCCAGAAGCCAAGGGATTTTTTTGTTCTGAAGGGCACTTTTCAACGTGAACAGATTAACTTTGTCTGCAAAAATTTGAATTAATCTACTTTTTCCCCTAAACCCAGAGGATGTGCAATATAAGAATTCCCATTCTGATCATTGGCCATCATGGTGCCTCCGTTAGGCTGAATGCCAATTTTGTCTGCGAGTTTAGAAACAATGGTCAGCTAGCTCCCCTACTACTTGCATGGCAACCGCTTGTTTAATTGGATGTTGAATGTGGGGTGGGGGTAAATGGAAAGCAAGAATGAATAGGGGGAGCGGTTTAAAAAAGGTTGAAAACCAGGGGTTTCTAGAGCGAGTGCTTGAACAATTTTGTCTGTGGGTTTAGAAAGAATGGTCAGCTAGCTCCACTACTATTTGCATGGCAACCGCTTGTTTAATTTGATGTTGAAAGAGGGGTGGGGGAGTTGGAAAGCAAGACTGAATAGGGGGAGCGGTTTAAAAAAGGTTGAAAACCAGAAATTTCTAGAGTGAGTGCTTGAACAGGGTTGATGACAATATACAAAATGTGGGCTTATAAAACATATAAAACAGTTTTAAATAGAAAGATTTATTAACTGAAGTTGAGCTAAGTAACAAATTTAACAATACATTTTTTTGTCAAAATGGAAGAAATATACAAAGGTTACATGTACTAAACATACATCTTTTATTCATTTACTAGACAAGTAATTCTTGTTATAATTTATATAATTATATCACTAGAGATCAATACTATCAAAGTTTACAATAAATGGTATGTACATAAAAATTGTATCACAAGCAAATACTAATTATGTATAATATATTAAGGGCACTAAATGATCATAATACCAAAAGGATTGGCACGGTAAAATACGAATAATTAATAATTTACAAGGTTGACCAATCATGTAGGTAGGGTTAAATGTTAACTTAGTTCTTCATTTCATTTAATATCTTTTGTGGCTTTATTTCATACATTGTTAGGGTGATCCATGTACTCACAGAAATACAGTCCACCGCTGATAGTTCGAGACTACCACTGAAGCGTGCACATTCGCCGTGCCGAGACCAACTTTCTAACAGTATGATACTATAAATAGCCATGGCACGTGCAATTCTCTACAAATCTATCAACTATTACAGCCGTAAAAAAATTATTGTTGACGATTTTGAATAGCAGTAAAATTAAGCTTCTTGGTTATTACAGCAGATTTAGAAATTACGTTCGTTTCATTTTTTAAATCGCTTTATCATTAACTGTACCGTTAAGAGCGGCATCTTTTGGTTTAGTACAAATAATATCTCTGAATCACTCGGGTTAGACAGGAACATGATACTAGCAGTAGTTTCATTTTACTTTTACAAGCTTCTTAAAACGATTGTTGAGCTACCTAACGTGCTTATTTCTAAATTCAATTTCTCGTTCTAGCTTTCTGTTATGTTTCGTAAAAAAGTAGTCTTGATTATCCCGACCTGTCAATCAGACGTAGAATGGACGATAGACTGGTTAAGCGAGACTAATTTCAAAACAAGGGCACGTAACCTATCTTTTACTCAAAAGTGTCTGGATGTTACGGACGACTCTTGGAACCAGTTTTCAGTCTATTATTTATACATGATTAATGGTCATAGCTTATTAAGTACAATATGATCGTTTATTTAGTGACTATAATTGTGTGAAACTGATTTGAGGCTTGGCATATATATAAATATTGTGGCGTAATTGTCGAGATATATGGAGATATTTATTTATGGTGGGTCACCCTAACATTGTAACAAGTCTGAACAGTTAAACTTAAAGGGAGTCTATATAATTTTTGTTATAATAAATAGGGACCTACCTGATCAATATAGGATAGATATTTCTCCCCTTACAAAAATGGCAATAAAAAAAAATAATAATAATTCAAAAACAAACAATGTATCACAGATCTTGGAGGGAATCTTTAACAATTTCTATCTTGGTGCTTTTGTCTGTTAATTCTTCGAGAATACAAAGTTTAAAAAAAAAATGCAAGAGTTTCTTAAACCCCTGCCGTTGTGTGAAGTGGATAAAATATTCATTATTAAATCATCCAATTCATAATATTTTTAACATTACATGTACTCTATTTGACCAATCCAGCACTCTTAGAATCTTTAATGTGAGGAATCACCAATAAATGTATAGTTTGTCAGTTTTATTTGGTCATTAGCTTCTTTCAGTAATTTTAGGATTTATAAATCTGACAGAACTACGATAACATGAACCGAGCAAGAGATGTATATTTTTACTGAAGCCATTTTAGCTACAACAGAACAGTTACTAAATTGCCCTAAATTGGGCCAAATTTTGCAGGGGCTATATTCATAAAGATGATTAATTGTTTTTGTTGCTTACGTTTCATTGAACTAAGCGAAAACCATACCAAACATAACCGATGTATTCCACAAAAGAATAATTTTGTTTTAGTAAGGGAACCATTGCAATTATTTTCTTTGAAGTGCAAAAGCCGTTTGGTTGTACTTAAAATATCTTTAGCCTTAAAAGGCACACTACAGTGCAAGTTGCACTCTGTTTTAGACTTGCGATAAAACAATTACAATGGGTATATATGTATGTATTACTTGAGAATATTAACCCTGTATATGAAACTCTTGCAATAAAGACGATTGTATGTGAAATGGAGTGAAATACAAGTAACAGTTATTAACACCATTATGTATCAAATTGTAATAAAATAGTGTGTTCTTTTTTGTATATAAACAATATTTTATTCACAGAAAAGTATTGAGGAACAGGCTAGGCCTATATTACCTCTCTCCTAGTGTTCGTTAGCGGCTGTGATTACCTGATCAATTAACCACTTGTAAATAACATTTGATAGACTATATAGATATTGTATACAGAGTGTAAACACATGCCATGAACTCGTAATAGAAAAATATACTACAGTTGGTGATCCTCACTGTTCAACTAATTGGTGACCAACAAAAATGTCACCAGTTAAATTCTTTATTACCAATTTAAACATGTAAATACCAGACGCAAATTATATTTTTCATGTTCTCGGCATGGTATTTGCAAGTGATAAGGCTTATTAACTATATATTAAGCAAACATCAGACATAAGGAATGAGAATGGATTGTGAGTTTTCTAAGTCTTGAATGGGTTGTGAGTTTACTAAGTCTTGAATGTAGAACCAGACTAGTGGTTTAGTAGACAGCTATGCTGTTTATGTGCTGGGTAGTGAACACAGATAACTGGTTCATACCTCATTTCAATTCACACTCAAGACTTCTAAGAGCAGAAACAAACATACTATAACCTTCAAATACACTTAAGTTTGTGATCTGAAATTGACAGGTTTTAAATAGACATACAGAATTATCACTCCATGTATATTACAGATTTACGGTACCACTAGAATAATGTGACTGAATTCTAAGAAAAAATTTGAGATATCTGTAAAGCTCTGCGTTGTTCATTAACAGCGAGACTAAGTTCTGTTCTTTTCTGTGCATTTTGTTCTAATTGTTGAAAATGATGCATGCGTCGTATTTTAGCACCCTGATGTTGTTGATTAACTGACTGTTTGTAAGCTTCCTCAGCATCTAGCTTCACGGTGATGACATCATTGCGTTCTTTACTACGTTGTTCTCTGACAGCCTGAAAGTAATTTAATTACAATTCGATCATTCAAAATACATTATATCATCACAAATTATGAACACAAACCTATTTATCAGCAGATGATGAGGAGACATTTTGGACCTTTTATCTTTAACTCTGTCCATTAAGGTTTACATAACTAACGATAGCCACACACAAACACTTGAAATGAACCCACACATCAACCATGGCTTGAAAAAAAGATGGTGATAGACAGCAGGTTATCCAAAGGAAAACTAGGGGACGTACATGTAACCCCGGAACAGATGATAGCAGACCTATAAATTCAACATTTTCTCGGCTGAAAAAAAGCATATTAAGCATGTCTTCATACAATGAGTATCTTCTGTGAAAGATGGGATTGAAATCCAGTTTGCACAACTATTTCAATAATTACTTCGTTGCTGAGCTAGTAATAGTATAGTCTATGCTAGTAATAGTATAGCCTTCTCTAGAATTGTTCTGTGCTAGCAAAAGTGTAGTCTGTGCTAGTAATAGTCTGCAGCAAACGGTTTTAGTTAGACCACCTATATGACTGGGTTTTTTTTTACTCACTTGACGTCTTTCTGCTATATCTTTCACTTCTTTTGCCCTTTGTGCTTGATGAGCTTCTCTATGTTCCCGTTGTCTGCTAAGAGCTGTTATTCTTTGTTCTTCTTTACTTAATTCATGTTTTTGGTTTGTCTCTATTCTAAAACGAATTTCAGCACTGATATTTTTCTTAGCTTCTCTAGCTCTTTCGATCATTTGTTGTTCATGTAACTGTTTTTCTTTTTCTTGCGTTAAATGTTCAATAATTCGTTGTCTATGCTGGTCTACCATCAGATTCTTCATATTATGCTCTTCAGATTTTTTCTCCTGCCAATTTTTATGTCTTTGCATAATCCTCCTTAATCTAAAATAGAATTTTACAAATACTGAAAAATGTAATCCACTGATCTTGCATGCCAGGTTATGGGGGTGAGGGTACTTTTCAAAATCACTAATCTTGTTTAAAATGGTCTGAATAAACTTTTCAAGTGACAAAATCTTTTATATGACCGGAAAAAAAAAGTAATATACTGTAGTTTCTGACAATTTTTTTGATCAAGTTCCAGGCATGTTAAATTATTTTAATTTTTAGTGAATGTCACAGATCTACGTCCAAAAGGGTTTGAAATGCTATGTTGTATATCTTTACAAACAATTAGTAGCAGAATGAAATTTGTAGAAATTACCTAAATTCTCTTCTAGCTTCAGCTATATCATCTTTAGTTACAGTTCTAGGTACATCACCATCATTAGCATGTTGTGTTTCAGGATTACTTTTAGAAAGTAGACATGGCTTTAACAATTGATTTACTGAGTTAGAGTAGTCATGTTTAGCAAACATATCTACAACACTAAATACTGGACTTGTCCATTCAACTAAAAAATAGAAAATTATACATTTTCATGAAATATACTGAGCGCCATGGAAAACGCATCACTATTTTTCCCAAATATACTAGGTGGTTTTGTATGTATAATATTATGCAATACTATGAACTATTGTTTCACACAATGCTCCCAAATGCAAAAAATATCGGCCCGTGTGCAGAAAAAACCAGCGGCTGCCAAGCAGGATACGCCCTCATTTTCGAGAGATGGATAGAAAACAAGCTAAAACGAAAGTGATTTTTCCTACAATCAAGGGCCATAATTCAGGAAATTACAATTCATAATGCGCAAATATCGAAAGGAACCAAGATCTTTGGGTTATAAACTTACATTTCAAGTTTCAACAAAATTGGATAAAAATTGTGACCTCTATAGGGTCCACAACCTTGATATACCATATTTTTACGCAATTTGAGAACGAGGGGCGGCCATTTTGTCGGTCAGTTTTGGGCTGATTTTCACGAAATTTGAACTCAACCTTCCTTAGGGTGTAACGGTGATATAATAATACGTTTTTTTAAATCGGATAAAAATTATGACCTCTATAGGGTCCACAAGCTAAAAACGTGATTTTTCGAACAATCAGGGGCCATAATTCAGGAAGATATGGTCGATATGCGTGAATATCGAAAGGAACCGAGATCTTTGGGTTATAAACTTACATTTCAAGTTTCAACAAAATCGGATAGAAATTGTGACCTCTATACGGTCCACAACCTTGATATACCATATTTTTTACGCTATTTGAGAACGAAGGGCGGCCATTTTGTCTGTCAGTTTTGGGCTGATTTTCACGAAATTCGAACTCAGTCACCTTAGGGTTTAACGGTGATATAATCATACGTTTTTTTAAATCGGATAAAAATTATGACCTCTATAGGGTCAACAAGCTAAAAATGCAATTTTTCGTACAATCAGGGGCCATAATTCAGGAAGTTAAATTCCGATATGCGCGAATATCGAAAGGAACCAAGATCTCTGGTTTATAAACTTACATTTCAAGTTTCATCAAACCAGCGGCTGCCAGGCAGGATACGCCCACATTTTCGAGAGATGGATAGAGAGCAAGCTAACAAGAAAGTGATTTTTCCTACTATCAAGGGCCATAATTCAGGAAATTACAATTCAATATGCGCGAATATCGAAAGGAACTGAGATCTTTGTGTTATAAACTTACATTTCAAGTTTCAACAAAATCAGATAAAAATTGTGACCTCTATAGGGTCCACAACCTTGATATACCATATTTTTACGCTATTTGAGAACGAACGGCAGCCATTTTGTCTGTCAATTTTGGGCCGATTTCCACAAAATTCGAACTCAACCTTCCTTAGGGTGTAACGGTGATATAATAATACGTTTTTTTAAATCGGATAAAAATTATGACCTCTATAGGGTCCACAAGCTAAAAACGTGATTTTTCGAACAATCAGGGGCCATAATTCAGGAAGATATGGTCGATATGCGTGAATATCGAAAGGAACCGAGATCTTTGGGTTATAAACTTACATTTCAAGTTTCAACAAAATCGGATAGAAATTGTGACCTCTATACGGTCCACAACCTTGATATACCATATTTTTTACGCTATTTGAGAACGAAGGGCGGCCATTTTGTCTGTCAGTTTTGGGCTGATTTTCACGAAATTCGAACTCAGTCACCTTAGGGTTTAACGGTGATATAATCATACGTTTTTTTAAATCGGATAAAAATTATGACCTCTATAGGGTCAACAAGCTAAAAATGCAATTTTTCGTACAATCAGGGGCCATAATTCAGGAAGTTAAATTCCGATATGCGCGAATATCGAAAGGAACCAAGATCTCTGGTTTATAAACTTACATTTCAAGTTTCATCAAACCAGCGGCTGCCAGGCAGGATACGCCCACATTTTCGAGAGATGGATAGAGAGCAAGCTAACAAGAAAGTGATTTTTCCTACTATCAAGGGCCATAATTCAGGAAATTACAATTCAATATGCGCGAATATCGAAAGGAACTGAGATCTTTGTGTTATAAACTTACATTTCAAGTTTCAACAAAATCAGATAAAAATTGTGACCTCTATAGGGTCCACAACCTTGATATACCATATTTTTACGCTATTTGAGAACGAACGGCAGCCATTTTGTCTGTCAATTTTGGGCCGATTTCCACAAAATTCGAACTCAACCTTCCTTAGGGTGTAACGGTGATATAATAATACGTTGTTTTTTTTAAATCAGATAAAAATTATGACCTCTTATAGGGTCCACAAGCTAAAAACGCAATTTTTCATACAATCAGGGGCCATAATTCAGGAAGTTAAGGTCCGATATGCGCGAATATCGAAAGGAACCGAGATCTTTGGGTTATAAACTTACATTTCAATTTTCAACAAAATCGGATAAAAATTGTGACCTCTATAGGGTCCACAACCTTGATATACCATATTTTTACGCTATTTGAGAACGAACGGCGGCCATTTTGTCTGTCAATTTTGGGCCGATTTTCGGGAAATTCAAACTCAACCTTCCTTAGGGTGTAACGGTGATATAATAATACGGTTTTTTAAATCAGATAAAAATTATGACCTCTATAGGGTCCACAAGCTAAAAACGCGATTTTTCATACAATCAGGGGCCATAATTCAGGAAGTTACGGTCCGATATGCGTGAATATCGAAAGGAACCAAGATCTTTGGGTTATAAACTTACATTTCAATTTTCAACAAAATCGGATAAAAATTGTGACCTCTATAGGGTCCACAACCTTGATATACAGTGTACCATATTTTTACGCTATTTGAGAACAACGGCGGCCATTTTGTCTGTCAATTTTGGGCCGAAATTCGACCTCAACCTGCCTTAGGGTGTAACGGTGATATAATAATACGTTTTTTTAAATCGGATAAGAATTGACCTCTATAGGGCCCACAAGCTAAAAACGCGTGAATATCGAAAGGAACCGAGATCTTTGGGTTATAAACTTACATTTCAAGTTTAAAAAAAATCAGATAAAAATTGTGACCTCTATAGGGTCCACAAACTAAAAACGTGATTTTTCGTACAATCAGGGGCCATAATCCACGAAGTTTCGATCCGATACATGCCAATATCGAAAGCAGCCGAGATCTTTTGGGGATAAACCTATATATCAAGTTTCGTCAAAATCGGATAAGAATTGTGACCTGTAGAGAGAGTCCACAAACAATTGTGGACGGATGGACAGGGGCGACGGCATAATACGTCCACTTGAAAATGTGGGCGTATAAAAAAGATTAAAATTGTGACCTCTATATAGGGGCCACAACCTTGATATACCATATTTTTACGCTATTTGAGAACGAAGGGTGGCCATTTTGTCTGCCGATTTTCACGAAATTCGAACTCAGCCGTCCTTAGTGTGTAACGGTAATACAATATTACGTTTTTTTAAATCTGATAAAAATTATGACCTCTATAGGGTCCACAAGCTAAAAACGTGATTTTTCGTACAATCAGGGGCCATAATTGAGGAAGTTACAGTCCAATGTGCACGAATATCAAAAGGAACCGAGATCTTTGGGTTATAAGCATACATTTCAAGTTTAAACCAAATCGGCTAAAAACGTGATTTTTCGTACAATCAGGGGCCATAATCCATGAAGTTATGGTCTGATACATGCCAATATCAAAAGGAACCAAGATCTTAGGGTGATAAACCTATATTTCAAGTTTCATCGAAATCGGATAAAAATTGTGACCTGTAGACTGTTCACAAACAATTGTGGACGGACGGACGTCCGGACAGGGGCGATGACAATATACGTCCACATGAAAATGTGGGCGTATAAAAATTGCACGAGATGCACAATATTCACGTGCAGCATTGTGTGTGAGCCCTTTAAAAGCATGTTTTCAACTTAATGTGCAGTACATGAACTGTGAAACGTCAATCTGTCGTAATTTGTTATTGTTGGACGTGAGAAGGAATCGAGCTAGAGATGCCGCGACTTACTGAAAATAAACGGAATGAAGCCATGGGAATGTCCAGGGCTGGCATGTCTATTGCCAGACACTTCAATTGTCAGCAGTCCACTATTCTAAGGTTGGTGGAACGTGTTCGAGTTACTGGATCAACACGTGACCGTCAACGTCCTTGTCCACAACGCGTTACAACCCAGGCTCAAGACCGCTACATCCGGGTCACTCATCTGCGTGACAGATTCCGCCCAGTGACTCGAACAGGTGCAGCAGTCGTCGGAAGACAAGGACCAGTAAGTGCCAACACCGTAAGCACGACGACCTTATGTTGAAGCTATCCTCAGGGATCATCACCGTCAGCGGCGTTTGATATGGGCTCAAGGACACCAGACATGGAGAAGAGTAGACTGGCAAAGTGTGCTCTTCAGTGATGAGAGTCACTTTCATCTTTATCACGCTGATGGCCGTCAACGTGTGTGGAGACGTCTTGGGGAACGTCTTGCAGACTGATGCGTCTTCAAAATGAATCGATGGGGTGGAGGAAGTGTAATGGTGTGGGGAGGCATCACATTTCATCACCGGACCGCCCTACACATTTGCAGGGGTCGTGTTAATGCTGTAGCCTACCATGATGACGTCTTGCAACCAATTGTTGTTCCGATGTTTCGAGCGCACCCACAACTTCAGCACTTCCAACAGGATAATGCACGTCCGCATACCACCCGTTTTAGTATGGGCTACCTGGCTGCTAACAACATCAATGTCTTGGACTGGCCAGCCATGTCTCCGGACATGGCACCGATAGAACATGTCTGGGGTGAGATTGGACGCGGTCTGTATCAGAGACCACAGATGCACACCATTGCTGCTTTAGAAGCTGCTCTTGTCCAAGAATGGAACAATTTGCCCCAGGCCTTCTTTCAAACATTGGTAAATTCCATGCGACGTCGCTGCACAGCGTGCGTAAGAGCCTGTGGAGGACACACGCGCTACTGACATCTGTGTCGTACTTTTGGTTTTGACCCCTCTGACTTTGTACCGTTGATTACAGATTAAACATCCATATATAAGTGTACAAATGTGTTGTTATTGATGTGTTCCCATTTAAATATTGTTCACAATAAGAAGCAAAATAAATAAGATATGTTTACAGGATCATTTTGTTATACGAAAAACTAAGTGATGTGTTTTCCATGGCGCTCAGTATATATTAAACGAACAAATTGTGTCCAATGAAATTGGCATTAAAGGACAATATTGGTGTCAGTCATTATCACATGATAGAACTGGTTAAACACGTTCCAAACATAATTTTAACACAGAGATCATTGCTACGATAGATGTGTAATGAAGATTTCAAGAAACGGAAGTGACGAAAGCAAAAGGAAAACACAAGTTATCCTTCTATATAACTGACTGAAGTGGTAAGTGATAACAGATACACAGGCGAATTTCTGCTCACTAATAATTCCTTCGAAGATCAAAAGTTGTTATATGAGACTGTGGGAGGATATCTGATAATTCAAAAAAATAATTGATTGTCAATAGATAAGAGCAAACGAAAAAAAAATAGAAATAGTTTGTGCATTACCATGTTTTTATTAAGTATAAAATGAATAAAAAAAAAAGAAATGTACGGACTGTTTAACCAGTTCTATCACAAATGTGACAATGACTAACCCCAATATTGTCCTTTAATATGGATGAAATGAAATGGAGTTTAACATCCCACTATTCTTCTCCGACTGGGCTAATGAAGACGGGCATACGCTATACAGTGTGCTATGGGGGAAATTTTGCCCGGGCAGCGGCACTATGGCCTACTCTTATATCGAATTCCAACTGCCAAGGGATCTTTATGTACACACCTATGTATACACGGGTCCTCATTTTTTCGTCTCATCCGAATAACTAGAACAGCTGTCCTTGTCCGGCTCTCCATCCTGGATCACTGACAAGGGGAAACCACGCCAGAAAATCCTGATGAACTTTCTCGGGCAATGCAGGGATCTAACACGTGACCTCCAGTCTAGCAAGCCAGCGTGTTACCCACGTATCCACCGTGGCTCCCCCTTTAATATGAATACACATGCAAGTCACCAGAAATGCGCTGGGACGATTTACCCAATACTACAATATCACCACATACTACCCAATACTACAACATAATGGTGCCAAATGAGCATATTACTTGATTTTTTTCAAAAATAGTGAGATACATCGTGGGAAATGTACTTCAAATGTGATTACAGATGTCTGGCTGTTCCATTTGCCTCCCTATATCACCCAAATCAAGCAAATAACCGAATACTACCAAATATTTCTCAAATACTACCCAATATTATAAAATACAAACCTAATGTTGTCAATTAGCAGCACATCAGTATAATAATTGAAACGAATATTCGATAATTTACCGAAAATGGAAATATTTACGCAGTTATCTCCCTTTACAACTGACAATTAGATTTTAGATTGCTACTCAAATTAATCATCTTGTTGGGCTTTGCAGTTTGTTTCCAAGACGACGAAGTTAAAATAAGGAAAACAGGTTATTATAGATGCCTCCGCTATAGTGTATTAAAATAAACTGCCAAACATCCAAATAAAAGAGTAAGCTTATTTTAGAGGTTGATTTAAAAATGTTCATTTAACGGTCTTGTGATCTATTCAAAAGTCTTGTACTATAATTATTTCTTCATCCTGGAGATTTTAGTATGATAACACGCTGTCTACAAGTGCATTCGGTCCTGTAAAAAATCATTGGGGTATAATATGTCAGGAAATCACACAAATTTATCTTTATATCTGTCTTTTAATGGCTTATTAACGCATCTTCTTAGTCTTTTAAATGATTCCGGTTCCATACCAGGCGCCTTTGAAAAAAAAAACTCTTGTCAAAATTTCCCCGATTCTTCAAATATTGTCACTATTAATCAAATTCTAAGTATTCTATGGTATATACCCACAGGAACCGAGATCTTTGGGTTATAAACTTACATTTCAAGTTTCATCAAAATTGGATTAAAATTGTGACCTCTATAGGGTCCACAACCTTGATATACCATATTTTTACGCTATTTGAGAATGAAGGGCGGCCATTTTGTCTGTCAGTTTTGGGCCGATTTTCATGAAATTTGAACGGTTATATATTAAAACGTTTTTTTAAATCAAATAAAATTTATGACCTTCGTACAATCAGGGACCATAATTCAGGAAGTTACAGTCCGATATGCGGGAATATCGAAAAGAATCAAGATCTTAGGGTTATAAACTTACATTTCAAGAATCAACAAAATCGTATAAAAATTGTGACCTCTATAGGGTCCACAACCTTGATATACCATATTTTTATGCTATTTGAGAACGAAGGGCGGCCATTTTGTCTGTCAGTTTTGGGCCGATTTTCACGAAATTCGAATTCAACCATCCTTAGGGTGTAACGGTGATATAAGAATACGTTTTTTTAAATCGGATAACAATTATGACCTCTATAGGGCCCACAAGCTTAAAACGTGATTTTTCGTGCAATCAGGGGCCATAATTCAGGAAGTTACCGTCCGATATGCACGAATATCGAAAGGAACCGAGATCTTTGGGTTATAAACTTACATTTCAAGTTTCAACAAAATTGGATAACCAGCGGCTGCCAGGCAGGATACGCCCACATTTTCGAGAGATGGATAGAAAACAAGCTAAAACGAAAGTGATTTTTCCTACAATCAAGGGCCATAATTCAGGAAATTACAATTCGATATGCGCAAATATCGAAAGGAACCAAGATCTTTGGGTTATAAACTTACATTTCAAGTTTCAACAAAATCGAATAAAAATTGTGACCTCTATAGGGTCCACAACCTTGATATACCATAACGGTGATATAATAATAAGTTTTTTTAAATCGGATAAAAATTATGACCTCTATAGGGTCCACAAGCTAAAAACGCGATTTTTCGTACAATCAGGGGCCATAATTCAGTAAGTTACAGTCCGATATGCGCGAATATCGAAAGGAACCAAGATCTTTGGGTTATAAACTTACATTTCAAGTTTAAACAAAATTGTGACCTCTATAGGGTCCAGACGTCCGGACGGACAGGGGCAACGACAATATACGTCCACATGAAAATGTGGGCGTATAAAAACAATAACAAAAGAAACAAAACTTACTACTATTATAAGGTCTTGCCAGATCTCGAGCTTCTAATGGAGCTTGTATAGCAGTTTCTCTAAAACCATCAACAGTTCTCATTCTGTCTTCAACTCTTTCGGTACTTGTATCAAGAAGAGGAGGACTTGGTTCACACTTCCAATATTTCCATGGTGGTCTTTTACTAATTGAACTATTATTTGGTCTCCTATAGAATAATGAACTTGAGTCTGTATTAACACCAATATCTTTTGCTCGCCTTTCTGCATCATAAACAGATTTCCAATATTGTCTTTCATTTTCTGTTAGATCTGGATCAGTACTTTTTAAGAATATCTCATGTAATCTTTTTTCGTCATCTGTATATTCCCTACTGGGATCTTCATAGTTACCATCATACTCAGAATCTCTAATATAGGTCGTTTTACCATCCTTGTCCACAGACACTAATGTACCATCCCTCTCTCTATATCTTATGTTACCATTTTTATCTTTATACTTAACAATACCATCATTATCTCTATATCCTTCATTTCCATCCCTATCCCTAAATTCTACTTTACCAGTATTATCTCTATATTCAATATTACCATATCGATCAATGTATCTTGTATTTCCATCTCTATCTTTGTATACCAAGGTGCCATTGCTATCTTGATAATTGATATTACCATTACTATCTTGGTATTTCACGATTCCATCCTTGTCTCTATATCCAATATTACCTTCATTGTCTCTATATTCAACATTACCAAGTCGGTCTCTATATTCAATATTACCATATCTGTCTATATAACTTGTATTTCCATTCCTGTCTCTATAAGTAACATTTCCATCTCTGTCTTTATATCTTACATTACCCTCTTCATCTCGGATTCCTACATTACCATGCCTATCTCTATATTCAACATTACCTTCCCTGTCTCTATATTCAATAAAACCATCTCTGTCAGTGTATTCAATATTACCATGTCTATCTCTATATTCAACATTACCATCTCTGTCCCTGAATCTGACATTGCTATCATTATCTCTATATTCAATGTTACCAGCAGTGTCTCTGTATTCTACATTTCCGTCTGTATCTCTATATTCTATTGTTCCATCTCTGCCCCTATATATGATGTTACCTTCTTTGTCTCTATATTCAGCTTTACCACTGCTGTTATATCGCACATTACCATCTCTATATCTAATTGTACCATCTCTATTTCTGTAGATAATATTACCATCAGAATCGGTGAACTCCATCTCACCATATCGGGGTACTGACTCATCTCTAGGAGTGGCAGACATTTCTACCAAATTTTCATCATTAAATGTTACTGATTTCTTTAAACTGTTGACAACTTGAGGTTCGCGTCGATTCAACAACCTTCTGTTACTACCCTTTTCATTTTCTTTTTCATCTAAGAAAAGCTTGTGCTCCATCAACTGGGAAGTGACTCTATCTTCCAATTCTTGTTTGGTTAAATTAGTTCCAGGTATCAGAGCATTAATATCTTCACTTTTTACGACTGATTTTGTTAACGGTGGGTCCCTACGTTTTAAATATACAGGACAGACAGGAGCAAATGGTGGATATCTATACAGTGTTCTATCTAAGGGCATCCCAGATTCAAGAACTAAGGCAGCAGGTTTAGGGTAGTGTTGGGGTGAAGCTATTGGGCCGGATGTAGGGTATCCTGGTAAATTTTCTAATGGATAATTAGGTCTAGTGGCCAGTTTTTCTCTGGTATGACGAGGCATGGTCAACTCAAGGGCTAATCTATCATACATAGTTTCCGGAATCCATACCGCTGTATCTAAGGCTACATTCTCTGTTTTACTGTTTCTAAAAGCAACTGTTATAATTTTATCTTCGGGACCTAAAATATAGAGAGAATGAGAAAATATAACTATACCATACTTTATTTACTGAGAAATAAACAAGTCTCTGAGTGATTATTAGGGTGTTTCACTTTTCACTTTTTTTGGAATTTCTAAGGTTTCTACCCGTCACCGAAGTCCACTCGGGGTCAAACTTACACCGTAATATTTTCAGAATTTTCTTGCCAAAAATGGCTGCCGGCGGCCATTTTTTTCTAAAATTGCGACTATTTTCTGGATTTTCGGACATTTTGAGCTTGACAGATCACTTAGAAAGGTCAGGTATGGCTTGTAATGTATCTATTTTATGCTTTTCAGGTATGTAGAGTCCATTCCCACTATCTTAAATGAGATTGTCAGAATCCAAGATGGTGGAAATCCAAGATGCCTCCCCAAATCATCTATTTTCGTGACATGGAAAAGCATTTTTCAAAGACTATGTCATTCTGAACATCATTTTGGCCCTGATAATAAATTTTGCACTCATAAAATTCATTACCAGGGCCAAAATGATGTCAGATTTACCTTTGGTTGAAAATGGCGGAAGGTAATGACTGAAGGTGAAGTTCCGATGGAGTATATTCACCATACTATTAATCTCGCAGAACTATGACTGAACCTGGAAATTGTTTACAAAGTTTTTTTATGATTGATTTTAGTAGCCTAAGGTGTCCCCTTTCAGAATGTGCCGGGTGAACCTCGGTAACCCTTGAGCGTTTTGAGAAATTCAAGATGGCATCCTAGACGGCCGGCATTTCACTAAATACACTAAAATCGTTCATTATGTTGTGGGGTGATTAGATGATAGTAAAATCCAAAATGCTAGATAATATGGCCCTTTAACTCGTTAGCGGCGGTTGGGAGTGATTATTTCAGCAAACCAAATTACATCTAGAGACAAATTATATTTCTGGACATAGGAGCATATGAGTGATATGATAACACCACATAATACCTATCAGGAGCTCCAGGGCCACATGACAGACTCTGGAGCAAGTTGGCCGGTTGTAATGTTCTCAATTTTGTAACCTTCACCCAGCAAAACAGTTCCGGATCAAGTTCCCTGCAAATACATCATTCGTTGAGCAAGACTACATGGTTTGGGTGGCGGGAAGCTGACCATACATTTCAGTTTTGGACGTCCAATTGTCCATACCCTCCAGCGTGTTTCAGACATCGATTTGCTAGAACTTTGTCCATAACCAGCCGACATGTACAGTGGCCTGTGCAAGCACAGATTTAATTAGAGTGACTATAAAGAGAGAATACAATCAAGCTCTCACCACTTTCAAAGCTGTTCCTTTTCCCACGACGTAACAGCACGTAACCGTGTCACATCCAGTAAAAGCATGAGCTGGCAGGATTTCAATGGTACTGGACATATGTTTCTCAGAAGTTGAACCAATGTCAACGGTTGTTCTTTCCTCGATTGGTGATTCAATTGTAAGAAGCTTGTTATAGACAGAGCTCTTTCAAATCGCTGCCTGAAACACGTTGGTGGGTATAGACATCTAAAACGGGAAATGTGTCGTCATCATCCCCACCTAAACCATGTAGTCTTGCTCCAAAGAATGATGCATGTGTAGGGAACGCAAAAAGATGTCATCACCAAGCCATTGTGTGGCGTTGACTGGAAGATCGTAATCCGCAGGAACTATATTGCTGGGTTAATGACACTAAATTGAGAACATTACAACTGGTCAACGTGCTCCGGAGTCTGTTACGTGGCTCGTCAGATGTGGATGGAAGAGTGATATGTAGTACGCGTACTTGTAGCTACACTAGGGATGGCTTAGATTATACAGTATTTTGCGCTTGCGCTGTCACAGGTTGCAGCCAGAAACACGACTAGAGGATTAAACTGAATATTACCTAGTTATTTTCATGTTTTGCGGGTAGAATTTTTTTTTTTTTAAAAATATTCAAAAAATAGCTTGTGCTAGCGTGTTCCTGATAGGCATGTATGTAGTGTTATTGTATCACTCATATGTTCCTATATCCAGAAATATATAATTTGTCTCTAGATATAGTTTGGTTTGCTGAAATAATCGCTCCAAACTGCCGCTAACGAGTTAAAGGGCCATATTATCTGGAATTTTGGATTTTACTATCATCTAATGACCCCACAACATAATGAACGATCACAGTGTATTTAGTGAAATGCCGGCCGTCTTGGATGCCATCTTGAATTTCTCAAAACGCTCAAGGGTTACCGAGGTTCACCCGTCACATTCTGAAAGATGACACCTTAGGCTACTAAAATCAATCATAAAAAAAAACAACTTTGTAAACAATTTCCAGGTTCAGTCATAGTTCTGCCAGATTAATAGTGTGGTGAATATACTCCATCGGAACTTCGCCTTCAGTCATTACCATCCGCCATTTTCAACCAAAGGTAGATCAGTGTCAGTCTGAACATCATTTTGGCCCCGATAATGAATTTTATGAATGCAAAGTTTATTATCGGGGACAAAATGATGTTCAGAATGACAGTCTTTGAAAAATGCTTTTCCATGTCACGAAAATAGATGATTTGGGGCGCCATCCTGGATTTCCACCATCTTGGATTCTGACAATCTCATTTAAGATAGTTGGAATGGACTCTACATAACTGAAAAGGATAAAATAGATACATTACAAGCCATACCTGACCTTTCTAAGTGATCTGTCAAGCTCAAAACGTCCGAAAATCCAGAAAATAGTGGCAATTTTAGAAAAAATGGCCGCCGGCAGCCATTTTTAGCAAGAAAATTCTGAAAATATTACGGTGTAAGTTTGACCCCGAGTGGACTTCGGTGACGGGTAGAAACCTTAGAAATTCCAAAAAAAGTGAAAAGTAAAACACCCTAGTGATTATTATATTGCCAATTTTAACTATCAAGCTACCTCTATTTACAGAGAGTGACAGTTTGGACTAAACTCTCTGATACCTATTTTAAAGGTAACCCTGTTTAATGGACTGGCTAGATTTCCATATCAATGCAGTAAGTATTATAATGTCACAATCAAGTTTTGTGTCTTTTTCCAGATAAGAAAAGCAACAAAAACACTGCTGTTTGTGAAAATGTCATTTGATAAAATGACGGTCATTTATTAAATAACAAAATTGGGTTGATACAAGTGGAATTCCAAAATTAATGGAAAATAGCAAAACATTATGGGAAATAATACTGAATGAGTGCTGGGCTTAACAAAACGATCATGAAATGGCCAAACACGTCTCCTATGGGGAGATGTCGTGCCCAATTCCTTGAAGCGTTGTCAGTATCCAGGAAACAGAGGTGCGGCAAATACGCTGTTGAAATCCAGGAACAAAGTTATTGCAAGTTTCTTTCTAGTCTCGTGTTGTCTACGGCAAGCCAAGTCTCTGCAAAATTTCTTTCTTTCAGATGATACCAGACGTTAAACAAAGGTACCGGTACTGCAAATTTCTTTCTTCTAATACGGTATTACGGGTATACAACTCTGTGTTAAAATTTTGAGTCCGTAAACTGATTAGTACTATACAAGTGGCTTTAGCAAAATATGTTGACCGTTAGGCAGGAGGAATGTCCGAATGATTGGCACCAAGAATAGAGGATCATGGGAGGAAGTGGCAGCAATAAAAGTAACCGATTACCAGCTACAGCACTGGGTATTCAAACAATAAAGTAATCGACACAAATACTATTATATATCATAATATTCATTCTTGTTTTACTGACTGAGTCTTCTACCTCGAGATTAGCTCCATGTGAACAGAACCGTAATACACAAAAGCTACACACTTTTCTTTAGTTCATGCATGATTGACTTTAATCAAACAGCTATAAATATGTTAATTCTACACTATAATACCATGCATGAATATGAGTCTTTATCACCATATTATATAGATTACAAATGATAATTCTCAAACCATTATTGCAGGTTGTCTCGGTTTTATGTAACTAGCTACACCATTAGCTTTAACCCTTTTATTGCATCTACCCGGTTGTACCAGGTATTATAAAATGTTAAAATGCACGTACCCGGTATTACTGGGTACTCAGTATGGCTGATGCTAAAATTAGCACCGTAACTGCAAGTGCCATCTATTGTATTTTCTATACACTAGAACATATTTCCACGTGTTTCAAAGCGGCAAACCGTAAAATGGCGGAGTGCATAGTGACAGCGTAGACGATGCACTCTTGGCGAAGTCGTGATTGTCATCTTTGCTGACCAAGACAGTGTGGACAATTTCGAGGTGGGTGATACACATAATTCGTTTCCAGTTAGTTAATAATGATTGTAGTCAGGACAATGATTGTTAGTATGAAGTGTTGTGATTTGTTGCGCGACGTTCCGTCTATGGCTATGTCTCCCGTGCATGATGAACAAGGCCAATGTGAACATGACAGCCCTGTGTCTGCAGTAGATTCTGACGATAATTCTGATGTTGATAATAATGCTGGCCTACTGGATTGTAAAATACGTAGGCAATTCAGAAGTCCCGAACGTGTAGATCTATTGACTAACTATATTGATAATGATATGGGATTTGGGGATGAAAATGAAAGTGATGGTGAAAACAAAGTATTGCAATCCGCATGTAATAATAACTAGAACTGCGAAGCAGTAATGACGGGTTTCATCGGTGCCACATTACCCTTGAAGTTATGTCACTTTCGGTGCCACGTTATCCTTAAACATATGTCACTTCCGGTATCAATGAAACCGTTAAACAGAATTCCACATAAGCATTGCACAAATAGATGCAGAATCATGTTACCATGTGTTACATAAACCAGCGGCTCCCAGGCAGGATACGCCCACATTTTCGAGAGATGGATACAGTACAAGCTAAAAAGAAAGTGATTTTTCCTGCAATCAAGGGCCATAATTCAGAAAATTACAATTCGATATGCGCAAACATCGAAAGGAACCGAGATCTTTGGGTTATACACTTACATTTCAAGTTTGGGTTATAATCTTACATTTCGAGGTTCATCAAAATAGGATTAAAATTGTGACCTCT